CTCTCTCTCTCTCTCTCTCTCTCTCTCTCTCTCTCTCTCTCTCTCTCTCTCTCTCTCTCACACACACACACACACACACACACACACACATACAGTCAGAGCGTTCTCTCTCGCCACGGAATTCTCCAATCCCGTCTCCTTCCCTGCCGGTCACAAGGTTTTTCAACACTGTTGTCTTCACTCTCCTTCTGCTCACTGCCTTTCGTGTCGTTGGAAGCTTTGAAAAACACTATCCTGTCTTCACCTCACTTCTTATTCCAATAGACTATACCACCCAGACCTGCCTTATCATCTTGAAGTTCCCTCTCTTCATCCCCAGTCTTCTGATTCCAACGGTTTATTACCATAATCCTCATCCTCGTCATCATCATCATCATCATCATCATCATCATCATCATCATCATCATCACCGGTTTGAGGTGATTCCAACGATTCCAACGTTTTATTATCACCGTCTTCATTGCCTCCCCAGTCAACTGATTCCAACGACCGGTTAAGGAGTAGAATGTGTGGCGTGAAGTAAGGGACGCAGAGCTTTTGGCTTTCCCGGAGAAAAGAGAGCTTTTTCAGCACTCTCTTTGTGGTACGTGCCCTTTATGGGAAAGTAGGGCAAGGGGATCTTGTCTGAGAAGAGTTCCCGCTTGGCAGGAAGCAGGACGTGGCAGCCTTTGGGTTTCCGCAAAAGGAAGGTCAGGGCCGCTCGAATCTTGCACGAATCTAGTGTCGCCTACGAAAGCTGAAGAAAGTATCGTGGTGAGCAAGGCCTCTCGAATCTTCTATCTTCCTGGGGACAAGCATCTACTACAACGTTAAGATCAGCAGTTCGAGGATTTATGACCGGTGGTCAGGGCAAGCCCCACTTTTTTTAACCTGGTTGGCTTCTGAGTCTCAGTGACAGCGACCTGAAGACTATCCTCGCTGAGTCGTTGTCACTGAGACTCAGAAGCCAACCAGGTTATGAAAAAAGTGGGGCTTGCCGTAACCACCAGTCCACCGTCATAAAGCCTCGAACTGCTGATCTTGAAAAAAAAATGCAAATATGGGCAGGGGACTGAACCATTCGGCTTGGAAACAATGTTCAGCTTGCCCAGACTACTTCCAATTATACTCTTTAATTTCCCTTCTCTTCTTAGTGATATGGCTTAGTGTTAGACCATTCGGCTTGGAAACAATGCTCAGGTGTCAGTTCACATGCAAATATACGTAAAATACTTTCTTTTATACTCAGTTTATACTTATGTGAGTGGTTTTCAGGTTAAACCATTCAGCTTAGAACCAATGCTCAGCCTTATATCAAAATCCTCCCTCAGAATAAAACAAGAAAACCCTTCACATGAGGCAAACCCTCAAAAAATAAACATAGTAACGAGGTCATTCAGCTTAGAAACAATGTCTGACCCTTCAGAAAATAGTCAAATAAACACAGCCCTGGGTCATTCAGCTTAGAAACAATGTTCAGTCTTTGGTTGGCCTGGTCAAACGCATGCAGTCTGCCTTCCTCCCACCTTTCCCAGTTCATCCCTTAGTCTGCTTTCAGTCAAAATAAGGAGAAACTTAAACTTTACGCATGCATTCCTTCCATTCAGTCTGATTAAGTCATGAAAGAAGGCAAAGTCATAGGGGCAATCTCATGCATACATCAATCAAACTAAAGGGAGATAAACAAACATGGGTATAGTGGGGTCATACAGATAGAAGAAAAGATATACCTGTCAATTCCCTGCCTCCAGAACCTCGCCTAGGTTCCGACAGAGCTCCTGCAATCGGTGGGTGGACTCCCCACAGAGCCTTTATGCGATCCTACGGGTTGCTATCCCGCCTGCCGCATTCGTCTCAGAACCAACAGACTAGACTTAGAGTGAAAAGGGCAGAAAGAGATAGGTTGAGACTCTCAGATCCAAGAGGGTGCACTCAGACTCACGTGATAGGGCCTCGTTACCTTGACGCGCCTGAGGGCCCTGCAATGGCGGCCAAAAATCGCAACAGCTTCGTCCAACGAGGTCAAACGGCTGAGTCCAACTCTCTGACAACACCCCCCAAGTTGCAGTAGTAACCTTTTTCACAACCACTCTTTTTTTTTATCCGAGCAGCAGCCAACCACAACGCTAAGCACCCAAAGAAAACTCAATGTGCACAATAGAATGGTGTAGCGAACATGCGTGCACAGCAGCTGCTTCTGCAGCAAGACACGGCGCGCTCAGTAGCACAGTGATGCTCAACAATCTGTAGCAAGTACAGTAGCTGCCGCAGTAGAAGCACAATTGAGGCAACCTGCGACTTCACTCAGCAGCAGAGCAACACCGGATAGTGCAGCAGCAATGCAAAGTGTCAACCACAATGCCCAGTCAGCAGCGGCACGTCAACTTCTTGACGACGGTGTCTAGACGCCCACAACAGTCTGTGCATAGTTAAGTGACCCAACAACCAGTGCTCAGCAAATGTAGCAGTCTGTGCATTGCCAACTGGCAGCAGTCTCTCCTGCCGTGTCGGCTGCGGGAATCGGCATCTCACCGGTCAGCAGCTGAGTAACACATCATCACGTAGGTGAGCTACTCCTTCGCTGCCTCGTGCCCGTAGCTAGCTTGCTCAACGGAACAACAGTACATCGGCCAACAGACAGGCCTCCAGTCTGGTGACTGCCTCCCGTTGCTTCGCTCTACGGAATGGTATTGAGACAGCCGCTGACAAACCTTCAACTTCCATGGCCCGTTCCTCTGCTCTTTCCGACTTGGTTAACGGGTAAGTCCCCAACCCGGTGACTGTCTCCCACTGCTTTGCTCGATGAGATGGTAGAGAGTCAGCCACAGGTAAGTCTTCAAGCCCACGGCTCCCCCTTGCTACTTCGTTCGCTCAGACTAGCAGAGTCAGAGTGAATCTATCCTTCGAGCACGGAATCATTCACTTCCTTCTCTCAGTTGTCGAGTGAGTTTTTCGTTAGTACTCTTAGATCGTCACTGCCCTCCCGAACCAACACCGTAGCTCAGCCTTCATTTCATCCTGCATCGCTAACTCTTTGGCGTGAATCTCCCATCCTCCCGAGCGCTCGCATCCTCAAGGAATAGATTAGATCGGCAACACTCAGATAGAGACAGAAGCGAGAGGGATATCACACGTCTGCAGAGAAATTGATTGCGAGCAGATCGGGCGCGTCCATTCCGAGGTAAGTGTCTTTATTTTCAGCCATCAAGACCCCCTTTCCGCGGCTTCGCTCCCTCACTCCTGTGCTCGCACCCCTGCCCTTGCGCTCCTCCCCCTCGTGTGCATCTGCCCGTACACAGGGGCAGGTTCATTCACGGGTAAATACCAGCTCCGTATCTCCTCGGCGTAGCGCACGTCCTTACTCCTTTGGCAACGAATCTGCTCACCAGCTCCCGATTCCGACACCGCAGTCAGGCTCGCCTAGTTCGATAATCCAATAATCGTATCTTTCCTCCCCCACTCTTCGTCAAGAAAACGATCGAGCTTTCACAGTGTTCGCTCCCTCTATCTCCCACAATATTCTCGCTCAACACCTTTCTCTGCCATCTCCTAAACCACTAACCTACCACCAAAACTAACGTGGTCATTCAACTCGCCACGGCTCAGACCCCGGAAACAAGACCTCCCTCTTACGCCATTCGATTCAGCGTCGAATCGAGCGAAATCACTGCTTTCAAAAGTCTGCTATGTCCACTCCCGCCAACTCTCCGCGCGGCTCTTCTTCCTTCCAACTTCTTCCCTACTCTACTAACATCAGAACTGTCAGCTCCGTCGAAGTCGCACCGTATCAAAACCCCTTCTTACATCTTCTCCCGCTCGAATCCATCTAGAATCGAGCGAGAATCGAAGTCTTCACTCCCGCCATCCTTTCTCTCTCGACTATCTCCGCACACATCTTCTCCTACTAACCTCCCATTCTACTAATCTATTGCCAAATCTAATATCCCAGTCCTGCTCGCCCGGGGTTAAAACTCCGGAGTCAACTTTTCTTCCACCGAAACTGTTCTTTAGACGAGCAAGAATTGTCTTTTTTCCTCTACTCACCGCACTTCTCCATTGCTCCTTTCCTTGAACGCATCCGGTCCAGAATCCCGTCTCGATCCATTCCCCCTTTGTCCTTACAACTCTTCTCACTCCTTTAGCTCAGCGGAGCGCTCGATGGTAGCGGATTTCGCAGCGACCGATCTCCCCGCTCTTTACTCCTTGCCTCTGACAGCTCCGACCTACTACGCCCGGTAGTCGGAAACCATCCAACGCTATACCACGCACTCCCCCCCACAGCGCACCGGCTCAGCCTGATACAACCAGCGGATCGGTGGTCGTAGAGGTCGAGCTCCGCTAAGGAGCCTATGCTAACTCTCCTGCGGAGTCAGGCAGTCCCTAAGGATGGACAGCGTCGAGTCCACGGCCTATGTCCAGCTGCGACTGTCACTCTGCCCTCCTTACGCATGGGTCATGTTAATCTTCTCTGTATCATTCCATCCTTAACAGATGTCCCGAAGGACTTCGACTGGGGCAGTGCCCCGTGACCCTTCGGAGCCTGAGCGACCCCAGGCATTTCAAAGCATTCAGCCCCCTACCTCAAGCCCCGCTATCTGGGACCGAACGCAGGTCTACGTCCCATCAGCTCACGGGTGTATCCATCGAGCTATGCCTGTTGGGTCAACAGCCAGCCTTGGACCCGGCCCCGGGCCCGAGTTCAGATAAGACTAAATAAGAGTAAAGGAAAATTTACAAAAGCAAGAAAAATTCAAATTAAAGGAGGGAGTGATCGGGAGGAAGAGAGGGAGTACCAGTGAGAGGGACCCACCGGTACTCCCTCGACCCTTCTAGCACGGCCCGCAATCGGACTTCCCAACAAAAAAACAAGGGGGGATAGTCCCACCGGACCCTCAACCCCTTTGCTTCTCCATGAGACGCTCCCTCGCTCTTAAGTTGTCGCCCGCTGGCCTTGATCCCCGCATTTTCATCTCGCAAGTCCAATGTCGTGACCCAAAGGGCTAGGCCCAAGCCTGAAACCAGCATGCGTGGTATCTTATATAAATCAGTGCGGCGTAGTGCTCAGGGTCAAGAAAGCGCCCTGGGCCACCTCTCCGCCCACGGTCGCGTCTGCATCATTCCGCACACCCAACTTACCGCCGGTCGAACGTGTCGGATAGGAAGACAAAAACTTTGACATCCTTATCTTAGTCAGCAAATAAAAACCAGCCCGGTTGGCTATGCCGGCCTTACTAGTAACAATTCAAAGAAAAACATCACACGCGTGTCGTAAAGCTTACGCACCCACTCACTCTCTACTCTAGTCAACCATTTAGTCGGTGCAATTTACAGACGCAACCGCGCCTTGCGTGGAATACTTAGATTTTAAACCAACTTACTTCCTGTTGTGTGCAAAAACTAGGGCGGATACCCTTCTAAGGGTATTCGCACCGACAATGTCACTTCTCGTGGTGGTCTCGTCCTGGTCCTTTGTCTTTTCTCTCTTGCCTCCTTACTCCAGATTTCTCTGTCGTGCACAACTTGGCTATATACAGGCTATCGGGTGTTGGGATGTTCTTCGGGACTCACCGGTCCCGACAACGTCTATGCACGATACTGAGGAAGGGACTACATGCCAAGACAAAGACCATGCACAGATACTTAGGACGGCCACGAAGTACTCACCATGCTTCCTTCAAAGAGAAACACAAGAGTCCACCTATCCATCACTTTGAGACTCTCTCTCTCTCTCTCTCTCTCTCTCTCTCTCTCTCTCTCTCTCTCTCTCTCTCTCTCTCTCTCTCTCTCTCTCTCTCTCTCTC